TTTGCCAAGTTTCACCTTTCCATTTCTGTCCAATTCGCCGCAACAACTTTTTCTTTCAAAACATCGCACCTCGAAAAAATTCACCGTGGGAAGTATCCAGACTTAACATTTTTATATAACTCCTTGTCTCAGATGTCACATTCATGCAAAGTTTCAGCTTTCCATGTTCATCAGTTTAACTGATGCAAAAAAATTAGTGGAAAATATCTCCCTTTGAAATTTGTTACCCCAAGGCATTTACTTCTAAAGTCGGAAGTTTTCTGCAGCATCCCAACAGGTAGTTATGTACCAAGTTTCATCTTTCCACACTAACTCAATACGCCTGGACAAAAAATACTTGAAAACGTCGGCTCACAAATATATGCCCCGAGGGCATGAATCTAAAATTTTTCATTTTTCCTAAACTCATCATCTCGGTAGATACGTCCATGCCAAGTTTCAGCTTTCCATATCTCTCCGTTTTACTCAAGCAAAAATAATGTTATGGTGGTGGAATGAGTAACGGCACATGGTAGGCAAAAAAAATACAAAAGTAAGCCAAGGAATGGTCTGGAATTGTACCCATACCTTCTGATTGGCAGTTAGTGATGCTACTATTACACCACCGAATCCAGGACATCCAGTTGTCTCTCTGAATGCCATCCTCATCTGTCACAAAATATTTTTAAGAAAAACGTTTCCCCCAAAATTTGTACCCCCAGGGCATGTACCTCCAAAGTCGGAGTTTCTCTGAACTCTACATCCCAAAAGGTACATGTGTACCAAGTTTCAGATTTCTAACCCTTCTAGAACGTGGTTAGAACTAGCGTCAGTCACTCACTCAGTCACGATCGTCTATATATTGCGTTTCTCGGAAAGTTCTTGTAGTTTCGGACAATATTTGAGAAAACATTGTTTTCAGCAGCTATACAATATCAGTCAAGAATGTAAGAACCATTGTCTTCCACTACATGTCTCCACTTTCCATCCGGGGAATGGATTCGAGCCCAATCCGCAGATGCCTTCCACAAACTGTTTTTCGGGAATTCCCGAGCTCAGTCAGCAGCCCTTTTAGGGCTGCTGACTCAGCGGCCCTTTTATGGCTGCTGACTCAGCGGCCCTTTTATGGCTGCTGACTCAGCGGCCCTCTCAACGATATAAAGTAGCACCACCTCCATCCAGTTCTCGAGAGTGAGAAACTAAGCGTGTCATATATTTCGATATTCACGAGTTCAGTCAGCGACTCCATTAACTGGAGAAACGGGATGCTTACTACGCGGTTGACGGCGTCTACAGGTAGGATCACGCCGTTTTCACCCTCGAGAATCATTTTCCTTGTGAGAATGCCGATTAATAAAAGGAGGGGGTACTGTTTGATAAAGGGGTCCAGATCCCGATATATCTAGGATCTGATGATGAGGTCTCATCCAAGCGAGGAAGTTATTCTTCCATGGGGGATGAAAGGGGACTACAAGTGTATTACGTCGGGACGTTTTACATGTCCCTGCTGAGAAGTCCGTATTGGATCCTCGGTCTGTATCGAGAGCGGGGTGTGTGCGTAGAATGCATCTCTACCTTTGTAATGTTATGGATAACATGGAACAAGGAGGATTTCATTTCCTTTGATGGTATAGAGAAAAAGTCCATGTCCATCGCGTAGGAGGCCCTGGGATCGATTCCACGCCTCAATATTGTTTTTCTTTCGCAATGCAATCTGAAGTCTCCCCCCCGCCCCGCCCCCCCCCCCCCCCCCCCCCCTCCCCCCNNNNTGAGAGCCCCCCCCCCCCCCCCCCCCGGCTATTACGTTCTCGAGAATAGATCCGACAGCCACAATGGCTGGAGGGAAGGTGCGAGCTCGAGAGAGCGAAACAGATACCCTGTTGCCGGACAGAAGGCGCCGCGCATGCGCACGTCACTGCGAACATACGAACATACATATTAGATGCCCAAGCACCTAATATATATTGACGATCGTGACTGAGTGACTGACGCTAATTCTGACCATGTTCTAGGGAAGTTAGAAATCTGAATCTTGTTA